ATACCTTTAAATGGCATCTTTGGAGCATTTCTTTCAGATGAAACCATCAGATCTTAGAAATTAGGAAACATTTAGCGAATTCACTGGTTTGAAATGCTCAATTTTGGTGTCCAAAATTGGGAACCTCCCTCCAAAATAGGGAGAGTGCGTTAGTATAATTTTGACTTTGCAGGGTCAGTAATTTGTTATTAGATTTTGAATTAGCATTGGTAATACTTTGACTTAAATTGGGTTTAGACTAACAGCAAGGAAAATTGACATGATTGAATTTTGACTAAGCAAAGGAATTACTTTTTCGACTGTCATTTGACACTTGAGTAAGCAAGTGATTTTAAAGGGACAGAATTGGATTTTGAATTTTTCAACTTTTAAATTAGCAAGGTAAATAATTTGACTTACTTAATAATGATGATAAATAGTATCATGTAATTATTGTCATAATTTGTGCATATGTTTTACCTTGTTATTTTGTAACAGTATGCATGTTAGTGTACCCTACACTGTAGCTATGATAATACAGTAAATTATGTTACTGTGGAACAGGTTTGTTGACTATGTTACTGTAGATGTTTTTGATACTGTTGAATAAATGGTAAGCCTGACACAAAATTAAGTTGACCTTAGGTTTTAATGACTAACTGTAAATGGATATAAGAGTGCTGTAATGTTGGTCTTACAGACTGGTGTGCCATAACTAATATATATACCAGCAATCAGTGCTCAATGCATCTCTTACAGGTTTTGTTAAAATCAACACTGTATAATTGACTAATGTTGATTTTGAAAAAGCTGGGGAATACATTTATTTCACTATAAATGGAGTCATTATGGATATTCTCTTAGACTACACATTTCTACTTTCAGAATTAGCATTTTATTTATTTCAGTCTAAAGAGGAAAAAAAGTGTTTAAATCCATTGGTTGACATTTTATTGTAATTTGTTTAAAGTTTATATTGGTATCAACCTTAACAATGTTTATACATTTTCTACAAGCGGTTTATGTTTTGTATAAATTGGGTTGTTTTCCTGTGTACAAACATTGTAAATTCTAAGCAACCAACAGACCACCATAATACTGTATACCAGGAATTCTTGGCTTCAATTTATTTTTTGCCTTTTTTGCCTTCTGTGATAACATCAAATGTATCTTGACAGCGAATATTGGTACATATTTATACAGTCTACTTTATATAGTATTTATATGTGGAGGGCGAAATTTACGCTAAGTGAACATGGATTTTAACAGTGAAGGGCGAATATTAGACTGAGTGAAAGTGTCCTGGTATACAGTAATTATATTAAGTTACTGTGAATACAGTGGTGGACCAAGACATACAAAACCTGTCACTACAGTATATTGTATGGATGTAGTGATATTGATAGAAAATATCAATGACTGACAATTAGTATTGCAATGTAGACAAATATACGTTAAAGGCCAGCTTCTCTCTGTTAAGGTGAATATGATCTAGGTTTCTTGTACCCATTGTAGATATTATATGCAGCATATGTTTAAATAAAACAATACAAAGAATTTCTGTTTTGATGTATTTTTTGCATATCATACAATGTTTATTGACTAGAACCAGAAATCTGTAAATCACATAGTTGTCTCAAATACTTATTTTTGCAGGTTCTTCAAAAATCTTATTTATAAGAATTGCAAAAGATAATCATTTACACACATAGAGAGGGGGTACCAACAAAGGAGTTTTAGTTATCATTGAGATATCCAGTAGAGTCGGTTAACTCTCCAGTAAAATCTCCAAGCTTGAAGAAAAAGGCAGATTATCTTTTTGGACAAGAGGCTCAATGGGCCTGCTCTCCTGTCAGTCATTTCACATCTATGACCTATCTTTACACATTATGGGTCATCGGTGGAGTTCATTGAATCCTGTGACCTTGGAAGTAGGTCAAGGCAATTTATTTGAAAGACAACAAATATCACCCGTGGCCTCTAGGTTATTAAGAAGTAATTTAAATGTTTTAATAAATAAACTCTGTGACCTTGGAAGTACAATGTACATCAAAGTCATTTATTTGAACAAACTTGATTGCCCTTCTTCAGAGCGTGTCATTGGCCAAACATTGTCAATCGAAGACTCCTTCTTATTCAGAAGAAGTTGTTCACAGTTTTAACACATCTTACTCCTGTGACCTTTGAAGTATGTCGAGTCATTTGTATGAACAAACATTGATAGCCCTTAACCCAAGCATTCCACTGGCTTTTGTTTAAAAGAAACAGTTTTAAGATTTTAACATATTTGAACTCTGTGACCTTGGAAATGGTTCAATGTCATTTATTGAACAAAGTTGAAAGCCTTTTATCCAAGCATGCTATTGACCAAATACCACTATCCTAAATTTCATGATAATTAAGAAGATTTTTAAAGGTTTTAACACAGTGACCCCTATCTGTGACCTCTGAAGTGGGTCAGTCAGGTCAATCAATCAAAGCATGCTACTGTCTATCATTGTCATTGCATATCCTGTGACTTTGAGAAGAAGTAATTTAAGGGTTTTAACGCGTTTGACCCCTGTGACCTTGAACGTGTGTCAGTGTCATTTATTTGAACAAACTTGATAGTTATTCATCCCAGCATGATTCACACAAAATATCATCACCCTGAGCCTATTGGCAATTCAGAAGAAGTTTTTTTTTATTATATATATTTTACCCAAACATGCACACCCTTACCCATACAAACACATGTCTGCTACAAGGGACACCTACAAATATTCATTCTTCCCACACACAATAACATAATGGAATCTCCTTCCCATAGCAGCAGTACAATCCACAACACTCCAGGACTTCAAGGCACACATACCCTGTGCAGCCCTTGAAGCCCTCATCAACCGCTAGTACATACGCCAACTTTTAACTTTTTATCTCATACCCTGCACACAAAAAAGCAAAAAAACTAATGACTGTAAATAATCTCCCTTTTTCACGCCTCTGCACCGGGTCCTTAGGGCATAAACATCACCATTGATGGAGCCATTGTACAGCTAAGAAGACCCTTGTGACAATTCAGAAGAAGTTTCTTTTATTATATATATTTTACCCTTGTGAGCTTTAAAGTGGGGAAAGGTCATTCATTTGAGCAGACTTGATAGCCCCCTCATCTCAACATGTTACTGGTCAAATATCATCATCATGATTATTCAGAAGAAATGCAGCGCTGAACTCAAAACACCCATCTCTAGTCTTCGTACGCATGGCTTAGCAAGTAAAACAAGAGCGTTATCCTTACTGCGATGTCTATATGATAATATCAGATACACATTTTACCAATATTAGTCGGTACCAACCCAGTAAGAGGCTATTACCCTTCGATGTCGGAAATCAGTGTTTCGTTGAAAACAATCTAATATTCACATGTTTACAAAACTAAGTCGCTAATACCAAACGTTTAAGAGTATAGCCGGATTTGGTGAGTTTTAAATTATTACAAACGTTTTGACTGCACAACCTTCCATCATTGGGAGGTGGCATTTTTAAAACCGAAGTTGATATAAACCCCTAAAACGTGTAAAATTACTCTGAACATCTCACTTTAGGTCTTAATACAGCTTTTACAAACTATCGGGTCCCTGTGGCCTTTCCCTTTACCATGATTCGACATCTTTACTCCATAGTGAAATTATCTTTCTTTATTATAGTGTTGTCAATCAATTTTTGAAGTAGCTTATTTAGCTTCGGTTTTGGTTTGGTTTAGAATTGTTGTAACGTCCTTTCGACAGCTATGGTCATTTAAGGACGGCCTCCCCTGTGCGCAAGAAGCATGCTTGTATTATGTATTTTGGGAGACTGCGATAATGTTTGTGTTTGTCTCCTTGTGATAGCGCGGAACTGATGCCGACTTTATAGTGCTACCTCACTGAAACATACTACCGAAGACAGCCAGCAGGACACCCTACCCGGTCACATTATACAGACAACGGGCGAACCAGTCAACCCACTCCTAAATTGCTGAGCGTTAAGCAGGAGTAGAAACTGCCATTTTTACAGACTCTGGTATGTCTCGGCCAGGGGACAGAACCCCAAGCCTTCCTCACAGGGGCGAACGCTCAACTAAAGGCCAAAAGTGAGACATTGTCAAGGGAGACATTAGGAAGAAGCTAAAGAAAGATGTTTAGAAAGAAGAGAAAAGATAAGATCCCAAATTTAGTCGCCCCTTACGATCATGCAATGGGGGCAGCAGGTACAATTCTTACGCCCTACCTGCAGGGACGGCTTATTTAGCATCATTTATAGAAAACGGATAAATATAACCTTTTATAGGTTGTTTCCGGATTCAATTTCTGGTCGTATAATTGATATGAGAGTTTGTTATTAATTTATGTGAAGGAAACAAAGTATGTATATATATACATTTTATGTTTACACCCCATCCGATGTACAGATACAACATGGTGGTATATAATATAACAATCGTCGAGACAGTGTTAGAAATAATATATAAATGAAGGCCTACTGACTATAGTAAAATACTATGGGGAGATATCTAGCTGTAAACATTCTCTGTCGGATATTCCAGAGAAAACTCAGGGCGGAGAATCTCATCCCGTTAATACCTAGGATATCTTTATGTATAATTTGTATAATGTTAGATTTTGTATTCTGTTGTTGAACGATGTACCAAACAAACTTTACCAAGAATCAGATTATACACGTAAATGACATAACATTGTTGAATTAAACATTGTTGAACATTGTATGATATTGTGTGGAAACAACCGCAGAGATGCATCGTCGATAAACTTTCTTTTGCATAAGTAGAGAACAGAGCAACATTTTAAAAGTACATGTGAAGGTGAATGAATAATAAAAAAAACTTCAAATTTACTTAGAAAGAGGTTTTACTGAATATTTTGCCTATTGAGAAACATTTGTTTTTGCCGCAAAAATTCGCGCCAGCCAGTCAGATCGCAGTAGATCTAACTCGGACAAACGATTTCGTTGAACGGAGCTACGCCGAGTAACACAACAAGCGTCCGTGTTGTCTAGAATAAATGGTGGTTGTGTTCTACCGACTATAGAACAACTTGATATAGTTAAGGTAAGTGTTATTTTACTGATTGAACAGCAACCATTCGATGAAAATTTCATATGGCAGAATAAAACAGACTGTTTGTGACCCGATGCATTCTACTTGGTGTTAATTTCATACAGACATCGACGGTTTTTATGATAAATATTGACGTTTGACACATAACGAAAAATCAAAACAAACCCGTTTTCACATGTGGTTTAGGATCATATCAAGTAGTTTGTTGATTTTTCAATATTTTATATCAACTAAGTGCTTCCCTGATGAGTAAGCAATGTTTATATCACATGTTTAACAAGTCTAATATCATGAAATCACAAGCAAAGCTATATATCTATCTACCAAGTGTCATGTATCCTAGCCTTATAAAGGCTAACATAAATAAACTAATTTGGGCACATTAAATAACTTAAATACATTTTTATTTTGTCAAATCACCACATATCAGTACTATACTAATATATGTTATTGAATACCATGTGATTATCAGTAGCATCTTGTTATAATTATTGTAAAGTATATAATTCATGTTTTTATTTAGAAGATTGTTCATGTTTCTCCTTTTTACATATTTCAGTGTATCATAGGAAGAGAAGATTAGAACAGGACATAAAGAACACCAAATTACAGTCATGGATCCTATACTTGTTGCGGTTGATACAGCATTGTTGCAGCACTTAGAATACGGAGACAATCTTAGACGATTAAGTGACTGTGATACCGGTTCAGGTTTGGAATCACAGGATGCAATATTGATGGAGATTCTTCAGGATATGTGTGTGTTTCAACATTACTACACAGGCGATGGAGCCATTAATACCCCTGTGTTAGATAGAGTGTTCTGGGAAACCCTAGATTTATCAACACTAAGCATTACCTTCGTGTCAAATGGTGCCTACATCTACGTCAACACTGGATGTGACGACCTCGGATCTACCGTGGAACACCAGCAGTTGGTGTCGGACGTTGACCAGTATGCTGGATACATGGAAGAAATGTTTGTTGTTGGAAATGTGGTTGCTTTGGAAGCATCTGACCCAGCTCAAGACTGGATCAGTCAGCAAATGGTTAAACCACACGTTAGAGTGTTACAGGACATGTTAAAATTCACAGATGTTCAGATAAAAGTTGGATTGGAAAACCTTCGAAGAAGAGGTATGTTTTTTAACAATGTTGTAGTAAGCATTGTCTGTGACAGAGAGGAATTATATTACCTCCCTGGGTGCATATTCTATCTTGATCATTCATAAATATGTGGCTTCTCTTTGATATTTGGAATCAAGCATCTTATTATTGTGACTTTCAGGAGTTGATACTTTAAAGAAACAAATTATTATTATTACATATGACATTATACATACATGTATTTGAACCAATATTGGTTAAAGGGGCTGGTCGGGGACAAATTGTCATATTTGCTAAAATGGCATACACATGTTTAAAATACCTTCTGATGAAATATACTGATACAAATTTTGCTGAAATTCACTCCCTAAGATTAAAAATTATAATTATATTAAAGAAATCCTAAATCGACACATGACAGTCTAAAACTCTCAATTGACCCAGATCAGTGATGTAATTTTACCGCACGCGCGTTATCAACAAGGCCAAATGTAAACATCACGGCGAAGGAAAAAGATGCATGCAAAAGTCATGACAGGCACGAGGTATTAATACCGTTATATATAACAACAACATATAGGTAGGAATACTACACTTGCGTCATACATAACCTTTTAAAACAATTATTTATGTATAGTATAATAATAATAATATATTGCTGTCTTGAGTCCGACATGGCACACGATGGAGTGTTATTGTTGTTACCTTCACTGCCTCACTTTCGAAACAACCACCTGACATATATAAATAGATCTGCGCTGAATTTACGCAGGGCTTCCCCGAGATTTCAGTGGTCAAAACTGGACATTGCAAGCAGAACTCGACCATCATATAAAAAAGTTAAGACATGTGTCTCATCTAAGGGAAGATGTTCCGATTTTTTTGCAAACAACATGGGTCTCGCCCAAGGGGAAATTTTATCCCAAATTATGTTTTCAATGTATGTAAATGACTTTGAAAATGACTTTATTGCTTACGGTGTTAAACCGTATGATTTTGGAGAACTCCGTCTCTTTTTATTAATGTATGCGGATGATTTGGTGCTACTTGCAGAATCAGCCAATGAGCTACAGAATATGTTAAATAGTTTGTCTATATATGCGAACTCATGGAAATTGACCGTTAATACGGCAAAAACTAAGATTGTTGTCTTTAGAAATGGAGGCCGCTTACGAAATAACGAGGAATGGTTCTTCGATAGAAAAAAAA